CCTTGACCTCTTACTTTTACAATGACGCGCACGGGCGCCATTCCTCCTTGAGCCTTTTGTTAGGAGGAATCATTTATGCGTCAATGGCGGCATTTAGGCGTGGACTGCATACGTGGAAGCTTAGCGTCGACTTTCCGCAGCCATCACGACTCTCAGCTCGACCCTGCATAGCCGCCAAATCATGACTCTTGAGACCTATCATCGCCCTGATGTACCTCTACTTTCTCATTCCTTGCATGCGCCGCACGTGGCCCAGCCGGCGCTGCTTATTTTTGAACTGACAATGCCCCACCTCATGTGGCCTCGTTGTCTAGACAGTGCAGAAATTGCTTGAGGAATTGGCACATTCGGAAAAAGCCGCATCTATGCGACCGAGGTTGTATGTAATTTCATTAGTACCCTCTTGTACGCTTTCGAGTTCGGTAGAGCCCGAGCTGGTGGTGAAGAAGTCAAGCCATGAAACTATACAAAGGGCAACTCTAGCTATGGCTATCGAGTACTTGGAAAATTTACACGCTTCGTACAAGTCTTACAGCCTTTTCCCCTGAGCTGAACACTTGATACACGCATTATTATTTGGCGAGTCCTGCTCGACGTGGGTGCACCCTCCAAAGAGCCAAGTTAATGATAGTGAGGCCTGGCCGCCGCCTGAAGTCTCAGACAGGTTTCGGAAAGAAAATAGCATGACTGCCTCTGCCTCCGCCAACCCTTACGAATCCAGCTGATTCGCGCCGCAAGGCCAACCCAAGGCAGGATAATCCAAAAACAAATGATTATTCTGTGTTGGGTCCAGATTCCGCACTTCTTGCACCTTCCCAACTCATATCCCCCGAATGATAGAGCTACCCAACCACCGCTCACTGCAAGATACGAGGTAGGCTTCCACGTTAATAGTCGGTCTGCTCTTCTGAGTTATTTTCACGCCATATCTCTCTATTTTAGAGCGCTCTCTGATTCTTGGAATCTAAATCTCGGAAGTTAATTCTCCTAGATATTATTGCATCTTTCGAGATATCGAGTTATTGCCCCTCTTGCGGCAGTCTTTATTCAGATCGTTGGAGAGAAGTCTCACTAACTGACTGTTCGTATTGTGACAAATAGCTTCCGCGTCACTGCAATCTTTCGTGCGGGTCGAATAGAGTCATCTAGATTGTCCGATCGATGTGGACCATCTTAATTCCAAAACATTACAACTTTTCCCTTCACATTCACCGCACGTCTGAGCGTGAGAGTAATAGTATGACGTCATAGCCAAGGAATGATCAATAGTGCTGAATTTGATAAAGGGCCTGGAGTAGTGCCTTCACTCCGGAGTCGTCAAAATCATGGGAAGCCACCGCGTGCATAGGTTTCTGTCGGAATACTCGGGTGGTACTTTTATCACACGCTTTCTTTGGCAGTAATTATAATTGGTGGCTAACATGTATCTTGATTCTTATCTTTAAGCTAACCAAGGAAACTCGTATATACAGCAGTTATCCCTCTCTTATAACGCCATTTCTAAACAGGTAAGTCACTACTCATCAACATAGTTAGTCATCATTTATATGATAATACATGAGAGGACATGAAGTCATTAGGTCATTTGACAGCATCCAAAGAGAATATGTGTACCTATTGCAGTGTGACGCTCCCAGATTGGTGGTAAATTGGAAGCTCGTACAATTTCATCTGTGACCATGTGAGATGTGGTTGGAAGTGTACCGCCTATCATGCGCTTCGCTACTAGCACATGTATTGAAGCAGATATATTCAAAAGAGAGCGATCAGCCGACGGTGGGCGTTGCAGCTGATTATTAAAAAGGGCTAGTTGAGTATATGTTCAGAAGGCTAGTGCGAGAAATATTTACATTTTAAAAATATCCCTATATACGGAGAGCTCTGATGCTACTCTTAATTGGAATCGAGGCTTTATGATAGTAGATATTCGAATACATTTTATTGCCTCTTTCTTTAGTTCCATGATTGCTTTTTGTACTTCAGATTTAGTTGTCGAAATAGCTCTCCAGCACAGTTGAGTTGAAGCTATCCAGGCCCAGTTGTTCTTTACTAGCTGGGCGACGGCTAAGCAGATATTTCTATACTCAGGGAGCCTCTGTGATAATTTCGTCAGGCAAGAAGAGGGACCTGGTATTTAACCAGTGGTGGCTTCCATAAAGTCGGTCATTTCCGCTCGTAAAGTAACTTCCATCGATTTAATAATGCCCTTATATGACTCGTCCTAAATTGAAGTGGTGGCTGCTTCCAAACTGGTAATAATGGTTTAAATTTGATTGTGCGCCATAATCTACGCTGTCCACTGTAGTAACGGACTCTGGAGGGCGTTTTTTTACGAGACTTAGGTCACTCCCCCTTACTTGAGCCTTTGCGAACGCAATATTTTGGTTTGTGGTGTGGTATTCGAAGCTCCAGCTATTTTTCCATCTAATTGCAGAAATATTGGATTGTTCAAGGGCTGAATCGCCATCATTTTTCAACGTGTCTCACTCCACTGGGTCTACGATTTTGTCAGGGTACGTTAGTCTCTTCATGCCCACAAGCCGGGGGTATCTGTGCCTCAAAGAGTGTACTCCCCTCTCTGCCTTCTCCACTACTACTTTCCAGCGGCAACACCCCCAGTTTTTAATTTGAGTACATACTAAAAGGAACTGCTATCCCCTCATTATCTCCCCTCTCCAGCCAACGAAACGATGGCCATTTGCGGGTGTGTAGCTACAGGGAAAAGTCTCAAAACCCGCTGGGTGCGGGGCTCTCCTATGAAGAAGAGGGCGGTCAGCCGTGCGCAGTATACCTATGTATACCTAAGTGCGTCTCTCAACCTTCCTAGCTTCCTCCTAACTCCTCTCCTGATTCATGCCATAGGATAGACCGAAGGTCGTGAAAGGATGTCAGAAAAGTCTCGGCCGAGAGTGACTGACGAGAAGGAGCGTAGCCTAGTATCCAAAAATCGGTATGGACGTGGGGTTGTCGAGTAACTCATGTATTTCAGAAACCCTCCTGACTAACAGATTCGAAATCTACTTTTATTGAGGGCGGAAGGGTCTTTTACTTTGCTTTCGTGGGCTTTTTGTTCGCCCGCCGGTGGGTAGCATATGTTGTAATATAACAAGGGCTTCTCTGACTACTATTGTAGTGTTTGGTACCGCATTATCTTTTCTCATTCCCAGCATCATTATCGTCGTCTTGGTCGCCTTATGAGTTATCGGAAGCGTATCTTTGACGGGGGGAGAGATAACTCAGTTCAAGGTTAAAAAGAAGTTACTCAATCTCGGCTCTGCAGACTCTACAGTGAGAGCTGGAGGTTCGTATGGGACACCACTGACAGGTGTTGAGTTTTCGTCCCCCTCATGCATATGTTATAAGAAGCACTTAGATGCATGGTCAATTTCATATGCACATCTTCACTGTTATTTCTATTCTATATTTTGTAGTTAGAATAAAGTCATTAAATCCTTTATTACATTGAATTCATTCAATTATCCTTGATTGTATTTTCTGTCTGAAGTTTCTCATTCAAGAAATGAACACAGCTAATTTGGAACCATGTATAGAATATAGACTTGAGTAGTTCCCGTAGAAAATTTTAATAGGGATGCTATATTTAGATTCGGTGGTATTAATGAGAATACTCCCAGGATGTATGTAAGGCCTAGATAGATTTCTCATTGAGGGCAATCAGTTAACTCAATCTTCTCGGGGGGAAATTCATCCAATTCCAATTTTGCTTCACACATAATCAATAGTTTTTTTTTAATGTGTCACGACGAGGAAATCATCAGTGAAGTGTAGGTCGAAGAGTGATTATCTATCAGTAATGACTATTTCAAGCTTGAAAATGCTATTTTCTTAGGGCCGAGTGCCACGTAAACCTCGAAACATAGAAGATTGTCCTTGAATCAATAATACAAGGCGTTCAAACACTTTGATTCTTCATCCCTGATAGGATGAATTAAGACCAAAGCCTATTCAAGTCTCAAGGTAAAACCTGCTTCAAATCCCTTCATATCCCTTCATATCCCTTCAGAATAACTCCACTGCACTAGCCCAGTCTCTGACATCCAATAGCATCCAGATAAATATCGCTACGCCTTATTATAGAAGGATTTGGGCGACAATTTTAATACAATTTTTGTTACATGCTGCAGGAACACTTTCTTTGGCAAGCCCTCTCTTAAATAGCGTTGAAAGGGCCTGTAGACCTTTCACATCTAAGAGAGATGATAACTGCTTAAAACTTAGCAAGACTTAACTTCATTTAACGCTGTTCTCGTGTTCGGAAAATGAAGGCACACTTGGTCAGCCAAAATTTTCAAGATTTTCCTCTGGCGGATATACGTAGTTAGGTAGTGAGTCAAAGCCTCTAGAGAAAACCTGTAATTCTCCAGCGAATGACATCCACTATTCGGCGTAGAATATAATGTAATATTCATCGCTTGAATAAAATAGCCACTCCGTGTCAGCTAACAAGCGTTTTTCTGTGGACTGCGGACACTTTCGGCGCCTTTCCTCACCTAGATAATCTCATTTCCTACAAGAGTACAAAATATCTGTTGCCCTGCTTTTCAGTGGGCAGAGCGGCTGTGCTGAAATAACCATTTTTATCGTATTTTGGATTCAGCTTTATCTCTCTCAAAATTGTGTCTGGAATCAGAATGCCTGCCTCTCCAAGTTATATCCGCTATGATAGTGTCAGGGAAACTTTTGCTGTTGTGATATTTCTGTGTAATCTTTATGGTAAATAACCAAGTCCATTTAGTTTATATGTCGGTCAATTTACAAAAGTTTGTACAAATATCATCTAGAATGATTCCACTTGCTTAAAATGCGAAACGCACTGAGAAATGAGGTGTTTGACTGAGAAAAGGGCCTCCAGAGCAAACCTTTAATCGCTAAATTTTGTACTGTTTTCCGTATATAATCTAATGTAATCCGCCTTCAATCGTGTCAAATGCACCTTAGAACAACTTGTTATTGTAGTTTTAACCTTCTTGAGTTCTTATTCATCTGCTGTCATTACCATGGGGGGTAGCAGATTCCTCAAACTGGTTTGTTTGTTTATCGTTCGGTAAGGCAGCTATCTTGGATTTCGGTAAGATCTTATCTCTTACTAGCCTAACAAGAAATTCTCCTGTCTCACCCGAGCTCTCTAGGGTATCAATCTTAGTCTTGAGCCACTCGACATCTCGGAGCATCCTATTATGATGAGTCATACGTGTATGGGTCTTTAGGGGCCTACTAACCTTTCTTTTTCACTTTCACTTTCTAGATCTACTTCCTCGAACGCCTTTCCCCATTGTTCTCTGTAATTAGACAAGACTGGTCGCATGACTGTACAAACTGTTTCTTCGGGTAGATGCTTACTAAGGACTCTGTGTAGAGTACTTGTTTCTCTTGTCAGTACTTCCATGTACGGATTAATACCGTCCTTCTCCTTGGACCAATCTACAGATCGCATGCTTTTGATATGAGCCGCCGAACGACTAGCCATTATATTTATAAGCTTATCGTAAATTGATTTTTGATGCTCGAGGTATGCCTTTCTTACCTTTTCGAATTCGCCAATGGTAGTGAGATTTGATGGATTACGTCGACGAAAAAACTCTCTTACGTGCGATATGATTACACAAATAAATGAGAGAGCCTGGGAGGCCAGCGCAAGGTGTTTGGTGGTAATATTCTTAAGACCTGCAGAGCGAGTTGCACCAGCCCCCAATATAAGTTGTGTACAGCGTGAGTTGAAAAGAGTCAAGTATGAAATGATTGACGCAGCTATTTCAGACATTATTGAGGGGATGCCTGTGGAAAGGTGAATGAAGGATGAGATTCCATGAAGACATAAAGTTGCCGAGTGAGTGAGAACGAATGATTCAGATTCTATAACTGCACAGCGAATTCCTGCTTTGAAAGAAGTAACCCCAGACAGGGTGTTTGTGGGCTCAGATACCGAGTCAGATTTTTTAGCGACGGATTCTGGCTCTAAAGTTGATGGGTTCAACCATATATTACAACTTGCGTTCCAAGCCGGGACATCCTCTGTGCTAGATAGAATTATACGTGATAAAGCCATACTATCTGCCTCCGTGAATTCCCTTGCGTTCCAGGAGTCGGCCTCCATCTCTGTTGCAAGATTTTGCCTCTGTGTTTCACTAAGCTGGCGAGAAAAATCACTAATATGGCCGTTAACCACATTTTTCAGAGATATACCACTCCTTCCAGAAATAGCTTCACACTCATTAGCAAAGAGCAAATTCAAAGTAAAATAACGGAGAAAATTCTCTACAGAAAGGTGAGTAGTCTGCTCAGATCTTACTCGTAGAAGTTTGACAATTTTGTCTTGAGCAATGTCAACAGACTGACCAAGTAGATTCGACATGTCCAGAGTGAGATCCATTCTCTCACGATCTTCTGAGCTCGGACTCCCACTTGATGAAGCTTGTTTCAATATTTCATCGATATTTCCCGCTATTGAGCTATGAGGTGAATTGATAGGAGATGCATGTTCGTCAAATGAACTGGTGATATCTAGTAAAATTTTTACCTGTGTTCCAAGCCTCCTGAGCGTCTCGCCGATACCGATATAAATTTTCCTCAAAAGCTCTTCAGAATCCTCAGGCTCAAGTGATCGCAAGTTCCGAGCCAAAATTGATGATTTCTCTTGCTGAGTCTTTGCTCGGTTTTCAGGAGTGGTCGAGGCCGACATCATAGATTCAGCGTCATCATCGCTTGAAGCCGGAAGCCTTCGCCTGACTATATTTCTTACCTCTCGTAGAACTGATTCCCGATACGCAGTGGTAGCAGAGGACGTGTATTGCGCACGATGAAGCCCGTTGAGATTAGCTGTTAATTCTGATCTAAATTGAGACGTAATTGAAAGATATGCAGGAGACGATGGCCCCCGATTATGACTCCTTGATCGTTGGGATGCAAGACTCCATCGTTGTAGAGTATCAGGTGCTGATACCGATTCGACGTGACGCCTGAGGTCATTCATTAACGTATTCAAGAACCGTACTTCAAAGGCTTTTCCAATCCGAACACGTAGTATTTCTACATCATTTGTGACACTCAACAAGGCTTTAGCCCCACGTAGGTCTCGCACTTGTCTCTTGGTAATGCTACATGTTTCCTCACCTGAGATCAACTTTTTTAGGGTATCAATTGTATCAAGGGCTTCATCTATATCACCGCTCTCGACTAGAGCCTCGCAATTTGCTACAATCTCAACTATATCCCTAAGCTGGAGTACAGCGTCGCTGAGACGATTCATATTTTCTTTTCTCTGCTTTAACTGAATAATATTTAGCCCACCAACGGCCATGTCGTCATCTAATGCTTGGAGTTCTCCCCTTAAGGACTTTATTCGATTGACGGATACAGAAGCTTCTAAATGAAGTTCTCTTAATGAGCCTAGGGCTGCAAAAAAGGATTTTGAAGCAGACGAGATAGAGTTTACTAGATGAATTTCAATTGTATCCATGTACCAGGATAACTTTTCCTGCAAGATCGCGTTTGTAGCTAAGGCTTTTCTCGGTATAGCCGAATTACTATATGGATCTTTTCGCTCTTCGTTAGCTGTTGACATGGGTCTAACTAGCTCTGACCGCTCGCTGACAACATCAAATGTTCGCGGGTTTTCAAGATGAAAACTCTCATCGAAATATACACTAGGAATTGTCGAAAGTGGCGTTGGAATGTAGGTAGCTCTCCTACCTCCACTTGACTTTCTGCGTGTTGTTTCAACCGAGGATAAAGAAGAAACAGATGCTTTTTTAGACATACTTGATCGGCTAGACAATCTCCTTCCATGTTCCTGAGGGTCTATCGAATTGTCAGATTTACTTGATTTCCTAGAAGACAGCATGTCCTCTTCTTCGCAGTTCTTAGCTCTTTGTAATGCACCGTAAAGAGCCCCAACCTGGGTGATATATGAGCTGAATACTGCTGGATCAACTTGGGGTATTGGTGTTAAAGTGACTGGTGGTATATCCCGCATTGTAGGGGGTTTATGTATGCTTGATGTCGATAATAAGGTGTGGGAATTTGAACCAGTCCGGACAATAGGAGATTGTAGCAGAGTATGAATAGCTAGAAAATATGAGCTGTATGTGTAGGAAGCTAGCAATTTGGATTGTACCATTCTGTCCCGTTTCTATCAGTCCTTGCCAATGCGTTGCTGTATCAAGTGTACCCCCGATGGAGTTCAATTTACCAATTCCGAGACTGTTCCTGGGCTGAAATCTGGTATTTGTGCCTGCTCTTCGTCGTTGTTAGGGATTCAATAGAAATTCAAAATCCAGACTCACCTTGAGGTGTATTCGCTACGAATTGTTCCCGGTGATGTAGGCGAAAGGCTATCTATAGAGTGACGTGACGCAGGGGATGCCATAACGGTGAAGCTCTTAGACCTTGGCACCTCAAAAATCCTTCTGGGTTCGTATCTCGATAGTTTCTGGTCTTAATTGACGGCATAAAATACAGCAAGTGTGATGATACCTGAGATCTATAAGCCTCGAGTAGTGGATGACTAAAATATAATGTGGTCTAGTCTCTTTGATACACAAAACTGGGCATTCATCAGTATTCGCAAATTATGACCGTTGTATTGATCTGTGTACGGTATATTGTAATTAAAAGGTTGTAAAGTCGAACTTTTGAGCAGATTTTATTGATAATCGTGGAATACCAAACATGTAAGACTGTCATCTAATGGATTCAGGTAGATGCCAGCAGCCATGGTTAGATCAGATGGACAAGGATCTGTTCTGCTAGTGTCCGGGCGGTTACTTTGGGATTTATCATGTGATGTACGCGAAGCTAGCCCCATTTTATGTATGGAGGATGATAATGATTGTTATTGTTTGACGCGTCACGTAACATCACCAACAACTTCAACCTTGACATGGACAGACAACCAGTTTATTCCCTCAACGTACTTCCTCCAGAGTATGAAAATGAAGACACTCGTGGACAGGTTCAAAATCAATTAGAGCAGTTTATCCTTCAGTTTCGACTGGAAAATGCCTTTATTTACAGGTGCATACTTCTTGAAATGGGAAAATCAACAGTGCTTAAATGAACTTCAGAGATCAAATTCGAGAGAACGTTCTGATGAAGCAGTACTTCTGTGATGTCGACGTTGGACATTTAATATCTTTTAACGAAGAGCTGGCCCATCGGCTGGTAACAGAACCAGCGGAAATTATCCCGTTAGTAAGTAAATCATAGTTTAATTCGGATAATAGCTAAAAGGTTTCAAGTTTGAAGCCGGCTTGAAAAAATGCACCCACCGTATCGTGTATCCCGCGTCGAAGGATATATTTGTCCCTGAACACCAACTTTTGCTCCATTCTTCGGCGGGAGAAATATCGATCAGAAATCTCGATGCCCTTACGATATCTCGGCTTGTACGTGTACCTGGTATAGTCATAGGCGCTTCAGTTTTGGCATCAAAGGCTACTGCTCTCCACATACAATGCCGAAACTGTCGTCAGGTTAAAGTACTTCCTGTTGCCGGAGGATTTGCGGGAATTTCTCTTCCCAGAACATGTGACCGACAAAAAATACCCGGGGAAGATGCCTGTCCTCTAGATCCATATGTCGTGGTTCACGAGAGCTCCCAATTCGTCGATCAGCAGATAATTAAACTTCAGGAGGCCCCGGATCAAGTTCCAGTAGGAGAACTTCCTAGGCATGTTCTCATTTCAACTGACAGATATTTGACGAATCGAGTCGTCCCAGGCTCTAGGTGTATGATAACGGGAATATTCTCAATTTACCAGAATAAGCAATCTAAAGGCTCAAATACTACATCGGCAGTTGCCATTAGGACACCCTATCTTCGAGCAGTTGGTATTCACAGTGATGTCGATCTGTCATCCAAAGGCAACGCTACATTTTCAGAGGAAGAGGAACAAGAATTTCTTGACATGAGCAGGAGGCCCGATCTCTACAATGTTTTAGCAGATTGTATAGCACCATCAATTTATGGAAACGAGAACATTAAAAAAGCTATCGCATGTCTCCTCTTCGGAGGCTCCAAGAAGATTCTTCCCGACGGTATGAAGTTAAGAGGAGACATAAATGTGCTCCTTCTTGGCGATCCTGGTACAGCAAAATCACAATTATTAAAATTTGTGGAGAAAGTTGCTCCAATTGCCATATATACATCTGGTAAAGGTTCGTCAGCAGCAGGTCTGACAGCTTCTGTTCAGAGGGATCACACTACTCGAGAGTTCTACTTGGAAGGAGGTGCAATGGTTCTCGCAGACGGTGGAGTTGTCTGTATTGACGAATTTGACAAGATGAGGGATGAAGACAGAGTTGCAATTCACGAGGCTATGGAACAACAAACTATATCGATTGCGAAAGCAGGAATTACCACGATACTAAATGCAAGAACTTCAGTCTTAGCAGCCGCAAACCCCATATTTGGACGCTACGATGACTTAAGAACTCCTGGTGAAAACATCGATTTCCAGACTACAATATTGTCCCGTTTTGATATGATTTTTATCGTTAAAGATGAACATGATCGCGGTCGGGATGAAAAAATGGCAAAGCACGTTATGGGAATTCACATGGGTGGTCGTGGGATGGAAGACAAGGCCGAGGCTGAGATAAGCGTTGAAAAAATGAAGCGCTATATTAGCTACTGCAAATCGTGAGTCCAAACTTGTTGAAATAACAATGAATTAGAGAAGACAAGAGCTGACAACTAGTTAAGTCGTTGTGCTCCCAGGCTCTCACCTGAAGCTGCGGAAAAGTTATCATCTCATTTTGTCTCCATTCGAAAACAGGTTCATACCGCCGAATTAGAAGCGGACGCTCGTTCTTCAATTCCAATTACAGTACGTCAGCTAGAAGCAATAATACGAATTACAGAGTCGCTCGCCAAACTCTCATTATCTACGGTTGCTTCTGAGTTTCACGTCGACGAAGCAATACGTCTCTTTCTTGCCTCAACCATGGACGCGGTTAAGATGGGCTCAGGACATGGATCAAAGGAAATAAATGAGGAAGTGCATAAACTTGAGGAAGAACTAAGACGAAGGTTACCAATTGGTTGGTCAACTAGCATGAGCACTCTCAAGCGAGAGTTATGCGAAGGAAAGGGATTTAGCGAAGGCGCTCTAACAAGAGTTTTGGCTGTTCTACAAAGGAAAGATACTATCACTATCCGAGGACAAGGGAGTCAAGTTTATCGAAGTGGGGCCTAGATCAGTAGATTTAGGCTACTCTCTTCGACCTGGAAATGTCAGGCGTCGGGTGTTGGCGCACAGTCATTCATATCAAATAGAAAAATCCAATTCTGGTAGCATCAAAATGTAATAATTAAATGGTCGTGAATTTGTTTCAAATTGAAATCCCAACCAACAAGACAGTGTGGACTGTATTGAAAGTAAGAGAAAGACTCTACTTTTCCAGGAACAAGTGCGGATGATGGGTGAATTTTGCATCAGATGTTAATTGCGTTGGCATCTATGAACCTATGACACAATATCAGAGAAAAAGTACAGAACAGATGATAAAACTTAAATCTAGAGCACTTATGCCTCGAATTTCATTTGCGTGTATCACTGCGAAGTATTGGCGGCTTTTTCTCAACCCCAAGTCTGCCCTAATCCGTCATTTTCCACCCAGGAAAAATTCTCCTAAATCCTGGGTTATCAAGACGTGTCTGCATCATTTATTGACTTTTCTCCGCGCGTAATGTGGTCTGGGGAGTCTCCTCTCTAAATAGAGAAAACGCCGAGACTTCTCACACTATAGCAGAGAATACCGGCGGGAAGCGGACCAGGGCACACTTTATGATTGGCTTGTTATTATGATGTTATTTGCACACTCACAATTGAATTCTTTGCGCGCTCTATGCTTTTCAATTTGTAAGCTTTAGGCCAAAATTCGAAGTCCCACACCCGTTGAGCTTGTATCCTTCCTCTACACCATCATCATGCAGACTTGTCCTGATATCTTTCACATCTATCCCAAAGAACTGCTTCACAGATTTTTTCGCCACGCTTAGCTTCTTCCCGTGGGTAAAAATATAAACCTGGGCGTGTATTTGGTGATCGGCTGAGGCCAGAGAAAGTCGACGAGAGGTGTGGTCATTGAAACAAGGATGTACTAGGTCGTACTTGTAGACTTGATGAAGCTTAGTTGAGAATCGGACTCTTTGGGAGTGAAAGATTGACATGGTGGAGTAATTTGAATTTTTGCCTCGTGGGCCAACTTCTTTGATATTGCAAAATTTAATTGAAATTGGCATTGGGAGAATATTTCACTCTCAGTTTCGTAAAGGACACCGCGTACAGGTGTTCAATCTTGCCCTCCCATGGGCATTCGGTGTCGCAATACTAGTAAAGTCTGGACTCGGTACAAATGATTGCAAAAAATGGCAGGTCCCGGGGACTTGTTATTCACTATTCCGTATGACGGCTTCCATTCTACTTGAATAATTTCAAGGTTTCAGGATTGACAGTAACGAATCGTTGAGGCTATTGGATCCGCCTCAAATCTGATCAAAGTTTCGCCCATTCTCGATATCCTACGATATTTTCTGCCTTTTTCTACTTTGTTTTGGGCCGTTTCTATACGTAAATTTCCACAGAGTGCCAGATCTATTCTTTGACGTTTGCCCGAATGTCTTACCTCCCTTGTTTGTGCAGTGTTGTTTACTCAATATATCATGAATATCCCCTCCCAATACTGATCATAGCGAATAGCGTTTATAATGATCACTAATATATAGAGATATTCAAAGCACTGAATAAGTCCAGGGTTGATGTTATGTAACGTTAAATTTCTTTTTATATTATTTAATGCTTATTCAGCTTTCTGCAATAATGTGAGTGTTTATTTTCCTAGTAAATTTAGGAATTTGTAAGGATATGTAGGTCCTTCCTGCCCACAAGCCGGGGGTATCTGTGCCTCAAAGAGTGTACTCCCCTCTCTGCCTTCTCCACTACTACTTTCCAGCGGCAACACCCCCAGTTTTTAATTTGAGTACATACTAAAAGGAACTGCTATCCCCTCATTATCTCCCCTCTCCAGCCAACGAAACGATGGCCATTTGCGGGTGTGTAGCTACAGGGAAAAGTCTCAAAACCCGCTGGGTGCGGGGCTCTCCTATGAAGAAGAGGGCGGTCAGCCGTGCGCAGTATACCTATGTATACCTAAGTGCGTCTCTCAACCTTCCTAGCTTCCTCCTAACTCCTCTCCTGATTCATGCCATAGGATAGACCGAAGGTCGTGAAAGGATGTCAGAAAAGTCTCGGCCGAGAGTGACTGACGAGAAGGAGCGTAGCCTAGTATCCAAAAATCGGTATGGACGTGGGGTTGTCGAGTAACTCATGTATTTCAGAAACCCTCCTGACTAACAGATTCGAAATCTACTTTTATTGAGGGCGGAAGGGTCTTTTACTTTGCTTTCGTGGGCTTTTTGTTCGCCCGCCGGTGGGTAGCATATGTTGTAATATAACAAGGGCTTCTCTGACTACTATTGTAGTGTTTGGTACCGCATTATCTTTTCTCATTCCCAGCATCATTATCGTCGTCTTGGTCGCCTTATGAGTTATCGGAAGCGTATCTTTGACGGGGGGAGAGATAACTCAGTTCAAGGTTAAAAAGAAGTTACTCAATCTCGGCTCTGCAGACTCTACAGTGAGAGCTGGAGGTTCGTATGGAACACCACTGACAGGTGTCGAGCCTCATTCGCCTTATGCGGTCGGTTGAACCTGAAGTTTATTTGGGCGGCCGACGTATTAGGGTCTTCACTGCTTCAAGCTAATTTCTATATTTAGTGTCGTAATTTTGTGTACAAGCACTCTCATGCTGGTCAAATTATAAGATTCAGTTACTTTTTGGTTTACTATCTTACAATAATACGATGGAAGTCAATAATCCTTTCGGGTATTCTTCCACCTGGCCCGGCCTCGTTCCTTTTAAATTATATTGTATCCATCTATTTACCTATGGCAAAGATTTTTGCGCAAGGATGGCTGAGTAAGTACATGATGAAACATGTGGTCCCACTTTTATGAGCCATCCCCAAAGGCTCATTGGAACTTAACTTTCTCAGGAAATCTTGTAAAATCGAGTTCAACGCCAACATAATCAACACTTCTGTAATCTGACGACTTACCATATACCCTTATTATTAGGAAAAAGTTACTCCAAGCACGATTATCAACGGATGCAACGTCTATCTGGCAAGGAGAATACCGCTGCGAAAAAAAAGAAGGGTATCAGCGAATCTGATCAGACCATTTCTTTACTTCAGCAGGTATTTCAGGTTGGTCATGAATTACACAATTCAAAGATCCTTGTGGGCCTTGAATAACGCTGTAAATCAACAACGCCGATGTATCTCATATCTAATCGAGAAAAGTATTCCCTCGGCTCATGATTTATCATTTTTAAGTACAGATAACTTCTAAATCTCGTCTAATTAATTGGAGCATAATTTGAATCGTCGTGGCCCCAGTTGCTCAACAACTTCAAACTGTTAATAATCAAATTTTTGTAAAGATTTAAATCAAAATAGGTTGGAATATTTGTTAAATCTTAGGCTGGAACATGCTGAGAGGTTTGCTCTACACCGCTTTGAATGATTATATTACATGTCTGATGATCACTAACAGGAAAACCACTCGAATTGCTGTTTAGGAATAATGCATGTTCAAGTAAATATGTGAAATCTCTACCGAAAAAGCTCATGGGCCGAGTATTAACTTTCAGTCCTAACTACTCACACTATAGCAACTCATACCCAAAATTATCAACACCATATGCTAGACTCCACTAGATAAGGAATCAAGGACGGCAAAACGCAGAAATCATGCTGTTCGTGTTATGTTTGTTGATAGCATGACCGAAACTGTGGGCACAACATTAAATAATGCTCTAGTTCAGTGCAGTGAACTCATATCACCAATGTCTTGCTAACTTCTTGGTGGGATCATGATCAGTGCGCACCCCATTATTATGATCTGGAAATCATAGTCATCTATCCGTAAATGTTTGGATAATTCAGATGTCACTGAATCACGGTACAAACTAGAGCTCTTCATGGAACCTCGATGTTACTAATTATAACGAGTAGGTCTCAGCACATATGTTACGACTACTTGGTTTTAATTACTCGTGTTGGTCATTTATTTCGTGGACTGGAGTAATTCAAACACTAATCGTCTTGGACAACTAGCTGGATTATCGCGGGGACGACATTTCTCTGAGTCGGATTATTCACGATGCTCTCCTACAACAGGTAGGTGCATTTCAAATCTCTTCCCCCTTGAGGTTGTATATCTCAACATCTGGGTAATGGCTCCTATCTGAATTTGACGCAAATAAGCGTTCCGTAGATAATATGAATACTGTGACTCCTATCTGTAATAAATCCCATCAGATGCATTTTTGGCCCTTGGAAAACCAAATCTTTGGGTGCCAATAGCATGAAGTTGATGCTGGAATACTGAAACGCTATGGGATAATGCCATGTAATCCATCTGACAAATGGGGTGAGCACGGGTTGGGATGTAGTAGCATTTGGGAAATGCGTCTCGATGCTTATTGAGCATTCCACATTGGCCAGAAATTGCCGATAGGTTTGGTCCAGGCAATTTCTTCCATGTATATCACGCTAGACCAAAAGAGGTGGCGCTACGATCCACGTACTTTGAGCACGCTCTCGCCAGGATTTACCTTTCCACAGCATTTTCAATTGCGGCATGTCGCAATGAAAGAAAATTGGAGCCACGTCGAAGACCGCAGAGACCGAGGAAGAGTCGACCGTGGAGCACCACGTCCGAGGTCGTCGCGATCACCCACATCTCATCGACAAGAGGGTGATAGAATAGCCAAGGCTAGAGATCGTAGTCCACTCAAATCAAGACCTATCTCTCAGCACCACGACGCACCTCGAGAATCAAGTCACGAAAGAAGACGCAGGCGCTCTAGAACACCTCTAAGGGACTCAAGAGAAGTCGTTCGTGAACGGAATAGGGGGAGAGAACTACTGGATACAAGAGGCTCTACAAATTCAAGAAAGAGCATTACAAACAGATCACCGTCATCTAGTAAGCGTCGAAGACTAAGCAGGACCCCATCGCCTTCACAGATTCATAACAAGAAGTCAAAACGAGGCCTGTCCAAAAGCCCTGTCAGGTTCGAAGGAAGGTCAGAAATAGTACCTAGGCTGGATAGAAGGAAAAGAACATTATCTCCAGCTCTACCTCGTAAGAGATCTCCTGATAGAAGTGAAGATCGCTTTGATAGTAAACCCAAGAGATACCGGGAAGTAGATAGGCGTGGGCGCTCGCCAAGCCCTAAGTTAAGACACAATTCCCGCAGAGAAACTTACCATAAACGAGAAAAATCACCCAAGCGCTTAAGCTCTCCGTATCGAGCCTCTAATAAGGCTCGTGACTTATCTCCGCCAGATAAATTTAAGGAAAGAGTACATAGACGAGAAGAGACAACAATTTCGAGGGGTCGCTCTCCTGAAGTTGATTGGTGTGAAACATCAAATATTTCAAGACAATATTCACCACGTGCCCCACGAGGCCCCAAAAGCTTTAGAGGGGGTCACTCTCCTCGGAGAGGGGGTAGAGGAGGAAGATCTCGCGACGAATTTAGGTATATTGAGAAACCTGAGGGCATTTCTAGCGAAAGAGAACATTACACTACTGGACCAAGTACTAAAAGTATCGAGGGTAAAAGTTCAAAACCACCTTCTGCAGTCCCTGCATCCGGTGCGAACAGCTTTGAAATCGAGCCTAAAATGGCTGGCAGGGGTTATTATGGCAGCCAACAAGATTATAACCCTCATTACCAAATGCAAGCTGCCTTCCCATTAAAGCCTCAATACAGTCAACGACCCCCCCCAATGGACTCGAGGCAATACTCGCAGTCACCACAGCATCACTTGACACCGGGCTCGTATCATGGGTCTCCAGCACAATCACCCTACCATAGTAATAGGGGTAATTGGGGAGGACACACAACACAACATCAATACTCTCCTCCACCGTAAGTTTGCTCAAGTACAAAAATATATAGGCTACTAATATTAAACCAAGGCAATATCCTCCAAGTTACCAACAACAGCATAGTTACTCAAACTCGGGTTATCAACCTCCTTACCTTAATCAATCACCACCATATTACAGTTCAGCAGGACAAGGGTATCATCACTCGTATCAGCAAAGTTTTAGAGGAAGTCGGGGTGGCTATCGAGGTAATAATTTTATTCCTCGGGGTGGAAGGGGAGATCATAGAGGTGGGCGTGTAACTCATTTTAAAAATCTTCAATGGAACAGTAGCACCAGTACCACCAATCAGAATGCAGCACTCCGCGGAAAAAAAACAACATCTGTAAGTGTAACGGCTTTGCAAAAATCCCCCAAGGGTCAAGTAGTAGAAGGTGCATCTCAACATGCAGTTCAAAGTACACAAGACCGGGTTGAAGAAGAAGCTGAAGAGATTTTCAGACCTTCTAAAGATCTACAGGTAGAAGATAAAGAGGTCATCAAAAAGAAAGATGAAGAACAAATGCCACCACCTAAAAGATCAACTCCAACAGGACCACAAATCCAGCAAAATTCACTGAAGTTTAGTTTTGCATTTAAGGGTCCTCCTAAGTTCGTAAATACAACATCTAAGCCTACAGTCTCTTCAAAAATCAGCTCAGGGACATCTCAAGATAAGCAAGCTTATGAAAAAGCCCATCCCACTAGTCCCCAAAGGTCTATTTCGCAGAGTATTCCTACAGAGCCGAGGATCTCAAGGCACTCGGACCCAACAGAGACTGACAATAAAACACACAAAGTAAAAAAAATAATGAAACGTATAAAAGAAAAACCGCAACTATCAGAAGAATTTAAAAAATCCGAATCGATATACTTCCGAAAGCCTGGAAATGAATCTGTTGTTGGTTCGGGAACATACGGTAAAGTCTTTAAGGCTGTTCATATCTACACAAAAAAGCTTGTTGCCTTGAAGAAGATTCGCATGGAAGGAGAGAGAGATGGATTTCCTGTAACGGCGGTGCGTGAAATTAAGCTGCTTCAGTCTCTCAAGCACCAGAACATTGTCAACTTGCAAGAAGTTATGGTTGAGAAGAATGACTGTTTCATGGTTTTCGAGTATCTTTCTCATGATCTTACAGGTCTTCTCAACCATCCAACTTTTAAGTTAGAGCCAGCGTACAAAAAGCATCTTGCAATGCAACTCTTTCAAGGACTCGACTATTTACACCGTCGTGGTGTGCTCCATCGGGATATCAAAGCTGCTAACATACTTGTTAGCAATAGGGGACTGCTTAAACTTACTGACTTTGGCCTCGCAAGGTTTTATGCAAAACGAAAGCAACTCGACTACACGAATCGCGTTATAACAATATGGTATCGCTCACCAGAACTGCTATTAGGTGAGACTCAATATGGTCCTGCAGTCGATATTTGGAGTGCTGCATGCGTGCTTATAGAGATATTTACACGACACGCTATCTTCCCAGGTGACGGAGGCGAAATTTCCCAACTGGAGAAAATCTATGCTGTTCTAGGGACGCCTAATAGAATCGACTGGCCTGGTTTGGTTGATATGGCATGGTTTGAACTTTTACGGCCAGCTTCAAAGAAGCCAAATGTGTTTTCAGAAAAGTATAGGGAGCGCTTGACGCCCCAAGCATATGAGTTACTTCAAGATATGTTTCAGTACGACCCTGCAAAGAGACCAAGTGCATGTGAAATTCTAGAGCATGCATATTTTAAGGTCGAGCAACCAAAGCCTGAACAAGCTATCCAGTAAGTACCCCGTTAATCTAATATTTCCATAAGAATCTTTTTAAGCAAACTAATGAAAAACAGCCTCGCTTCACTAGACGGCGATTGGCATGAATTTGAGTCCAAAGCGCTAAGGAAAGAAAATGAGCGTAAAGACAAAGAGGCTAAACGTCAAGCACTGAAAAGTGCAGATAAGAAGCGGGTATCAGAAAGTGAAACAGCGGACAGAGACACTAAAAGGCCAGCAGCCGAAATGATTCTCAATTCACCCGCACTGATTCGAACTAAAAACGACTAGCCCACATACATCGTATTAATTTCATGAGGAACTGATAAAGTATAATTTATAGGGCCGCAAACCTAAATTGAGCAAAGAGATATAACTGTAGCTTGTTGAAGTATTGAAATAATCTTACTACGAAAGATTTGATTGAACTAACCAGCTACAAAATTATGAGTGCTTCTAAAATTGCAGAAATTCAGTTAAATTTTTCCTTGATCATATTGTATCGTATCCAGAAAATCTAGGCAATTCATGAATACGGGAACTAAACACACAATTAATTGATTTTGCTTTGAATATGCGTCTCATATCTTAGAATTGACTGACCACTGCATGACTTGAATACCTTCCCGAGTACAGAATATACTGAACCAGCTTCAAAAATATAAAACTCGAATTGCTATAAAATTTCCCAAACAGCACTCCTTTAAAACCCTTAGTTTCTTTAAACCACTTCATACCTTACAATGTATTAACCAGCTGCTAATTTTTAGGAGTTCTAATGATAACGTATTCTTCGTCCAAAATTTTTATTATTCGATACCTGTTGGTATGAAAGCGTTAATCTCTGTGACATCACTGGCCATGAGAATGGTTTTATTATTGCAGAGGTGGTCGATCAAGATGTAAATTTCTACCCCTAAGGACGCTACTGAAGCGTTTGAATTTGAATTTTATTTTGATTTCACATAACCCGATCAGGCAATCTATGGATCTATGCAGGTGACTATCTTCAGTATTTACAAAGGAGGAAACCAATTTGGTGAAAACCCCCTGATCCTCTCTGTTTATATCGCTATCAAATTGTCTGGTTAACCTTCAGGAAGTGCAGTTTACACTATTCAGCCAGTATAGATTATGACCTCTCCCCTTCAAGATCTTTTTATTCTATCCAATATTGCAAGCTCGACTTCCCCTGTAAGTCGAAACTGTTTTATCCACCCTTTGCTTAGTATCCACTGTGTGATTCTAGACATATCTTCTGGGCTATTCATCATTGCTTCAAATGATCTATCTTAAGCTTGTCGGAGAAAGAAGCCTCTTCCATTTGCCCACTGCGGACACGCCAGCACCATGTGCTTGATGTTTTATGACGGATAAACACACTGAAAGCTTCGCTTTTCTACTCCAGGTACTTTCCTTCTGTGCAGGTAAGAATTGAGCCCGATATGCTTGTTTCTTAGCTGAATAGCGACACTGGTCTGGGCCCTGGTTAGGTTACAGTGGATTCTTAATGGTGTATCTTTGAAATTCATTTTGGTGCTGCCTGTTTATTCATCAGTGAATATATTTGCCGCTTTCCAATGTTCTGGATCGGCTGATGCTAGTCGGACAGGGCGCTATTTCCTGTTCAGGCTTGCCCATGAAGTCTTCCACTCCTGAAAGGCCGCTATCATTACAGCTTCTTTCTGCATCCACACGTCCTTTTCCCTTCCGCAAGTTCTTGTCCATTCGGCGATATCTTTACTCCTGTTCAAGGCATGCGGAGATTCTCTCTCGTTTACGGCCAGCTTTATCCTCTGACATGTCGATCGTATTGTCTATTGAACATATGGTGTGATGTTTTTATAGTACTATTTGAGTCACAGACTATCTAGCACATCGGGCTCCTCATTGGCCCCGGCCACATCTTGTTAAGTGCTCCTTGCCTCTCATGTTCCTTGGAAGATAATTGATATGTTGCCCGTGATGAAAAGCCATTCAGATCAGTATTTATCTGTGAAATTCGGCCACCTTTTCCATTGAACTTTCTACCCAAAAAAAGGCCGGCAAAGACGAATTCTTCACCTTCCAGTGGTGCCGGTATAATCGCTCAGTATGCTCCTCATATCTGGGGTAGCCAAGAAGAGGATGGAGAGACTGAACACCTGTACGCGGTGTCCTCTACGAACCTGGGAGTGAAATATTCTCCCAGAGCTAAGTTCAGTCAAATCTCGCAATACCGAACAGGTTGGCCCTCGAGGCAATGATTCAAATTACTCTACCACGTCAAATTTTCACTCTCAAAGATTCTGACTCATACTTAAGCCTCATCAAGTCTAAGACTACGACCTAGTACATCCTTATTCAGATGTTCATACTTCTCGTCGACTTCATCTGGCCTCAGCCGGTCACCAAATACACGCCCACGCCGATAATTACACCCGACGGAGGAAACAAAGCGTGGCGCACAAATCTGGGAGACAGTTCTTTGGGATTGGCGTGAAAGGATTCAAGACAAGTGAAAAAGATGATGCGAAGGATTGATACTGTCTCAACGAGCGTGGAATTTTGATTTTTGGCAAGGAGCTTTTCACAAATTGAGTTTTGTGCGTGCCAAGGCTTCGGTTGCGAGAGTGCAGACGACACTATAAACACCGCCATGGTTGGATGGTGCGGTGGTACATCGTCTTGGCCAGTCTGCCATGTAAATTCTGGATAGCTTGGACACATATCCCACTCGAGACAGTAGATCGCCAGTTCAAATCCGGCAAAACACAACCACTTTTCTCGCGGCGCTGGTGTACATGGATGACGAAAGGCATGCTTGGATAACCAAAGGTTACGAAATTCCCTTTGGTGGGTACTAACGGATGATGGTCGACTGTTTGTGTAAGCGAACATACCTCATAGTGGTATTTGCGAACGAAATACACAGTATGAGTGTCTCTAACGTCAAAAGCGTCATCCAACATGTATACATAGCACCGGACATGTGTCATAGCTAGATAGATGAATACACATTAAATGATTTAAAAAGAAATAGCCAAGAAGAATCGCATCCGAATCGAAGTCCAAAGCAAACACATCCATATTTCCATCTGATGACTTCTCAATCATGCAGCACTTACCATGCTTCTCTGAGTCCTCAACCTCTTTCCAAACCCACATCATCTCGCCTCAACGACCGATAAAGGCGTCAACCCAATTGCAAACAGGGGCTTGCCTCATTCATTACCGGCTATCACCCAATACAAATTTACGACGCTACGTTTACCCGCAAGGTGGGGCTGTGGTGGTATTCTACGGTAAAGATTAAGTAGCCTGAGCACTTACTTCACTTGGGAAGGAGAAATCTCAGATCAAATTTTGCGCGGAGTAAAGATAATGGATGATGGAGGCATGACTGGATAACTCGGGGGTTTTGAGACGTTCCCCTGGGTGTGTATTCATAGATGAGGGTTGACTTGGGGTGAAGAAAAAGCTACCATAACTTCGCTGTAGTACTTGCAAATGAAATCCGAGACATGAGTACTCTTCTTGTAAATCGAGTCATATTTTCTGTACTTTTATTTGATATTGTGTTATAGCTAGATAGCTGCATACGCAATGAAAATCTGATGTAAAAAAAATGGGGCTGACATTTATAAGGGATTTTCAACCTTGGAACGTTTGTGGGCGCCAAGACCAAGATTTCGGCTAATTAGTCTGGAGGACTTCAGTTGTCGATTAATCAACGGCACTCCCCAGAGCCCTGGACGGCACAAAAGAAGTTGGGCTAAGCTGCTACACAGCAATCACGCTTTGTCAAGAATTTTCTAACATTTCAGCACGAGCTTCTGGAAGGAGTTGGAAGAAGGCTAGAAAGGCAGAGTTTGAATTCTCCGAGGTACCCACAAGTCTGCAGCGCCCAGCTGGCCGGCCTCTTCGAACGCTTCAGAAGGGGCACTATGTCTTCGGATTTAGTCCTAATGTTGGTATTAGGAGAGAACCGCACCCAGTGGTTTTTGCGATTTTCCCGGCAGTCATACACCTGCAAATGGCCATCGTGTCGTTGGCTGGAGAGGGGGGATAATGAAGGGCAAAGGGCTCCTCTTAGTGTATGATCGAATGACGACTTGTGAGGGGTGGTACTGTTTGAGGGGAGCTGTATGGGAGGCATAGGAGGGGATATAATAGTGGTATAGGTATCCTTGGCCTGTAGGCAGAGAGGACCTGCATGTCCTACATAGTCATAGACTTAGACAGGACAATAAAATGAATCAATAATATTACCCAAAAAAACGGCTGTGTTACACTATAGATATCATCACATTGCTAATTTAGCCTAGCGTAGTAAGCGGGCCCACATGTCTAGGCCTGCCGATATCAGAAATTTTTATCCATCTTTATCATACACACATTTTTTTTTATTCATATTGAAGTCAGCCATACAGCTATGAATATTCATCTAAACTGTTACATTTTCTTGAGATAAGGATTATCTTCCCTTTCTTATTCCAGCTCTCACCCAATATCTATATTTCCAATTTGTTATGTATCTTTAAACATTATTGGCTCAATCTTGTTTTATACTAAATCACTAAGGATCTTTATCTAGGTTCTGTGACGGTCTTAAAGTGGCGTTTTATTCAAACTGAACTCAGAGCTAGATACAAATGAAAATCTTAAAGTAACGAGCAGAGACATGACTGAAAGCCTCCTATTTATTTACAAGACTATGATCTCGTTCCCTCATTTCATACCATTCTCAAAATAGATCATGACCTGTCCTCCGACAAACACCAGCATCTCCGTCTATTTTAATTCGGCTTCATTTTAATGTTAGTAATTTTAGTTATTAAAATAGTTATGATGCATGTGGCTTAGATGACTCACGACTGGTGTTCGAGTCGTCCTGTCTGCAATCTAAATTTATCATTTAAGAATAGATTTGCATGAACTGGGCCAAGGCCTATACTTGGGTCTAATGAGTTGTGGAGGGGTTCATGACATGTATGGTGTTTAATATGGTTGGAAGAGTTCAAGCCTTATTTGTTAGGCAGCAGCCTAATGATAACCAGGTATGAGCCTGTGACAGGTTCAACCACAAAGACCGCCCTTCTTATGTGTATGAACAAACAGATCATCTTGGATGCCTGCATAACTCCAAGTCCTTATATATTACATGACTGCATAACTAGAGCTGACTTTACTTAATTGTGCATCCGCTCACAGTACCTCATTTATCTCCTTTTTGTGCATTTATGCACCTAGAAGCCTTCAAAAATTCTAATAATGCTTCTCTGCCCCATCATACACTAGTATACCGGGTAGCAATGGAATCTGTGCAGTACACATCATATTTTCTTCCGACCCATCCAACACTGCATCACTCATGACCTGTTGTGATATACAATATGGATGGGCGTGTGTAAGTAATGAGACATTGCGTGAACTAAACCAAGTGTGGCTAGCAAGGCACGGCGAGGGATTAGCCGAGGCTCGTGCGTATGGTATTAGGAACACTTCTTTTGTAGAGATAGATAGGGCCGCCTCATCCCTTTTATATACACATATATGTACATTTAGATTCTAATTAATTTAATCTTCACACCTTGCTCTACCCTCAGCTCCGCAGACTATTAAGCTCCAAACTCCAAGACGTTGTACATAACCTCATAACCATAACATTACCCTTTCTACAAGAATGTGCAACCAGTGTAATTGCCCCAGCTATTGCATCTTCCTTGAGAACGCCTTCTAATCCAGGAGAGCAACCTCACCCAAGCGTGCTTGGCATTGTGAATGCAATGCAAAAATCAGAACAACAAAGAAAAGATATTATGATTTGTCTATGATATGGGGAACGTACATTTGCGTTTAAAGTAGCTATACTAGTTAAGTTTCACTGAATGTATGTGTAGAGATGTGAATTGGTTGAATGTGTTAGAATTTAGAATAATTGGGGCTATCAAGTAGGCCACGTTGTTGATACACACATGACTGCAAATTCTGTAATTAGTTTCACTTCGGTAGTTACTTGAATCAATGCTCTCTACAACTTCAATGACTGAGGGGTCATTATTCTCTTAATAGAATGCAATTGTTGGAATGTGTGTCTTTTACTAGGCGTTTAGTGCGGTGTGTCTCTCTGTTGCTGAGTCATTCTCTTGATGACTCAGCCAATACTGCGAACTGGACGTTTGCAGTGTTCACAGATAGCAAGAAGAACAACAAGAATCCATACCTCAACTTTCGTACCTTTTGTTTTGCATTGAACTAACCTTACAAATATGTAAGATAAGGCCAATCAACAGCATTAATATATTATGGGCAGGTAAAGCTCTCGTCTTATACCCTGATTACAGTGACTCTAGGATCAGAAGCATTAACTTGAAACTGGGATGTTTAAGGGATTAGCCCTGTAGGTGCAATTCGGCTAGCTTGCAATAGGTTAGACTGTCTCTCCTTATTACCTCGCTTGCCATGAAGTATGGTCCAATTGTGCATACTGACCCTACAGACTTACACGCACTGACAACTTCACTCAAACTTTGCAATGGCAGCAATGGACTCCACCATCGAAAATCATGCCCCTATGACAGAAAGGGGCTCCTGTTCTTTTATCATCCCATCCAACACTCCACCCATCTCCCTCTCTGCAACACCTCCTTCTCAACCTATCCTACCTCAACACGACGTGGTAGTGACTGAAAGGCCAACCCTTCAGCCTGTCCCTCCCTATAAACACGCAAATCCCAAATCCTGCCACAAAACAACGGCAGAAAATGTGAACGACGCAAGCAAATTTCTCCCAAGAGAACTTGCCCAAATTATTGAATAAAAATGTGACAGGAACCCAGAGTTGGTGATGATAATGTCGATTTAATAAACTGTATAAAGAAGAAAGAGAAATCTAGTTACAACTAACAGGTTTTATAATAATCAGCCCCTCAGTGATTGTCTTGACTGATTTCTTCACCCTAGGCCAAATAATTGCCACCCAGCCACATATTATCAAGAATCACTATGCTGTGACACTGATCTGGCCCCTTGGCTGGTAGTGCCGTATCTTCCAGTTTTCTCTATCATTTCCTTACAGTCTTACAACATGAATCTTCAACAACACGCTTAGGTATCCACACAAGCTCGGACAATGGTCAAACTGTAACATAACCCCCCCATTTACCCTCTCCTCTTTTCTTTCCTTGACGCTGGCCCATTGTTTGTTTCTGCTGAGCCCCATTTTTTCCCCAGTTGTCGACTGTTACAGCATCTTGCAAATTGATGAGAGATGTCCACTCTAGTTGCACCATTCCAGTCCACTTTACTAAGGCCTGTCTTTCTCCCTTCCTTGTCCGACATCTAAACACTTCATAAATTTGGTATTCTTCTTTGCCATCATCACCAGTGATAGGGCCTGGATTTTCGTCCTCAAGTGTTTGAGACAGCAACGTATTTTCTTCTGCTGGTAGAAGCAAGTCAACATGAAATTGGTTATAAATTCTTCCAGGGATATCAAGTTGCACTACCTCTGGTGGAATCAGTTTTGTGACAGTATACTTTGCATGTTGCCATCCCAACTTCTTGGAAGGTTGATCCTCCAATCTAATGTTTTGCAGTAGTAGCCAAACTTTATCACCAACTTCATACCTTGGTGCCGGGTGTCTCTTTTTATCTGTGGAATCCTTGAATCGTTCTTGAATAGCAGCCATTGCGGATGGCATAAAAGCCGTTACATTTACCAATCTCTCGACAAAATTTTCAGCCCTTTCTTTTCCTGTAGATGTAGGAATTGTTGAATTTTCGTTAATTATTTGGATGGGATTAACGTGGTACCCATGTGTCGCAAAAAATGGACTCAAACCACCCAAGGATGCCACGTCCCTATTATTTATTGCTAGTTGAGCAGCAGCCAAACAATTGGACCAATCGTGTTGAGTATAGGAAACATACGCTCGCAGGTAACTTTGGACTTCCTGGTTCATTCTTTCTGTTGCTCCATCAGTTTGAGGGTGGTAAGCTGTGCTCAGTCTCTGTTGAATTCCAATTAATTCACATACCCATCTCCAAAATTTACTTGTCAAATTTGTCCCTCTATTGCTAGTCAAAGCTTTTGGAAATCCATGGTAAAGCCAATAACATTCTAGGAATTGTTTAGCACACGTTTCTGCATCCATCTTATCCATTGCTTCGGGTGTTACTGATTTTAACAAGCAATCAGTGATCACCATGATATTTGTTGAGCCATTTGACTTTGGTAAGTCTACCATAAAATCTATAGAAAGTTCCTGATGAAATCTGTCAGGTACAGGTAATGGTTTGAGAAGCCCCAGTTTTTTGTGTCGCCAAATTGATGATCTTCTGCATACATGGCAATTTTTGCAGAACCACTTGACTGATTTGCTTATCCCTGGCCAAAGATACTCTCAAGCGACTTGAGCAAGGGTTGCATCCCTTTCAGGATGACCAGAAACCGCTGCGTCATGAATGTTCTTGATAAGTGCTGTTGTCAGCGGTTTGTAGAGAGGTTGTCATGGCGAGACATTCTGGAACCAGAGTCTAAGTAGAATGCCTGAGGATAAAATTCACGGAACAGGCTTCTCGGCTCACCCTCAACACTTGCACTTATATGGTGAGACTAGATAATGCGCCAACTGGAATTGATATGGTTGAGGTCACAGTTTGAGTCATGATGGTAAATTACAACAGTCTTAGTTGAATTATGTAGATAGTTATTTTAACTTAAGGAAGCTGGAGCTACAACAAAGTAGTTCTCCAGCTTCACAATATTATAATATTATTACAGTATTCCTCTAGCAAACCCGCTTCCTTCTAGCCATAGTACTTCGTCGACTTTCCACCTCTATAGTATTCACCACTTGACCTTTTCATATCCTCGGCAAACAGCAATCTCGATCTACCCTATAGCACGCCGTAACAGAGGTACCCATATACGCCCTTGGTAACAAACTACTCCAATTGTCTCATCAAATTCACAGGCTGCAATAGTTGCTTTAATAGGACTAGGCTCATTTGAACCTTCCATCTGTAATTTGATATCCTTAGGCCACACATACTCTCCGCTTCGAACTGCATTTACTACCTGAATATATCTTTCGTCATTTTTAATTGCTTGGTTCCACAGCTCCTGTAGATCCTCATTGACAATTATTTCATGCCCTTCTGCCAGGTCAGAATGGCCAACACGTAATTTTGATGCATGGACTGGTGTTAAAACCTGTTGCTTGTGGCTCAAAAGTCGAGGATCACCTTCCTTTGGTTTATCTTGATCCCTTCTTGAGAGTGCGTCCGGACGCTCACTCTCTTCACCATTCCTGTAAACAAGTGTATACCTAAATCGAGATGGGAATTCAGCCCATCGAGTTTGCCGCTCTGTCCATCTTCTCGTGGTTAGAAAGTAATTTAAGTTCATGTGGTCACTTAGAATAGTGAAAGCCTGAGCTAAACCTCTCGATTCTGCGTCCCATTCCTTCATACTTGCTACAATAGCTAGGAGTTCTTTGTCATGAATTTCATAATTCATTTCAGCTCCAGTTAGCTTTCGAGAGTAGTATGCTACTAGCTTCCATGTGGTATTTTCTTGCTTCTGTAGTAAGCAGCCACCGAGTGCATAACCAGAGCAGTCTGCCTCCAATATTGTTTCACGATAAGGATCATACTGAGCTAGAGCAGGCTCTGCAACGAACTTTTCCTTGAGCAATTTGAATGCCTCATTTTGTTTGTGGCCCCACTTCCATGGTGTACCCTTGCCTGTCAGAGATGTTAAGGGTGCGCAAATTCTCGAAAATCCCTTGATAAAGCCACGGTAGAAATTGGCGAACCCTAGAAATCCCCTGAGTCCTTTTGTTGTTGTTGGCGCTTCCCATTCTGATATTGCCTTAACCTTTGCTGGATCCATCTTGACTGAAGTATTCTCACCATTTGAGGATATGATGAAACCTAGATATTTTGTCTCTTTAAGGCTAAACTCACACTTATCAATATCTAGCCCTAGTCCAGCTTTCTGAAGCTTTTCAAGAACCAGATTTATGTGCCTGTGATGTTCTTTTTCATCTCTGTTGGTGAAGACAAGTATGTCATCTACGTAAGCAGAACAGAAATCATCCAAGTATTCACGTAATGCCTCGTTAATATGTCTCTGGAAAGAGGCCGGGGTACCGCTCAATCCAAATGGCATGACAAGCCATTCAAACAACACAAATTGTGTCAGAAAAGCCGTTTTCCACTCATTGCCTTCCTCAATGCGCAACCTATGAAACGCAGCTTGTACGTCTAACTTTGTGAACCATTTAGCTCTGCTCAGTTTAGCAAGCGTTTCTTTAATTAAAGGCAAAGGATAGCGGTCAGCTTTTGAAATGGAATTCAAAGCACGATAATCAACACAAAATCGAAGACCCCCACCTAGTTTCCGAACAAAAAGTACTGGGGCCCCTGCTGGTGAACTACTGGCGCAAATATAATCCTTGTCAAGTAATTCTGTCCGGGTCTTCCTCAGTACCAACAATTCATCTCTTGACATTCCATATAGGGGGCCCCATGGTATTTTTATCAGGTTCAAGGCTAATTTCGTGATCGCACCCTTTCCGATGAGGTGTGTCAGGATTGCCTTCTGTATAATCTATATATGTGGAGATAACCAGAATCTAGTGTTCTATGATTCTGGTCTGGCCTTTTGGCCGAGCAGTTATGCACCTATCTCATGCACAATGTAGGATGGTGCCCTTTAGCCTGAACACCACCTCTTTGACCCATGTCTCCGCCCTGCTGTCTACATGCTGCTCTGACAAGGTGGGAGTTTATCTGTTGATTCTTTGCAAAAAAGGTCTGAATATTTCTCATATTGTGTAGGAAGCCTTTCCAAGTTTGTAGGTGATTTCTTCAATGGTGCAAGCGCTTTCTGAATGTCTGCAAGTGTCACAGAAAATAATTGAGTGGTGCTTGTCAATTTCCTGGCTTTCCTAACTGTTGCAAGGAACACACCTGCAGACAAACTTCTGATATTTGACCCTAGCTGTAGTGCATTCATCTTTGTTTGTAGACCTTTCTCCCAAACCCTGAATGGCTGACTGTTCACAATAGCTTCTATGATGTCCATAAGATGATCCTTTGCATTGTAGATAATATCTTCCCGTTCCATCCATGGTTTTCCAAGTATCAGGTCATGAGACAGCCCTGATATTACATAAGCAAACAAGGTACGTTGGTATCTGTCTATATCAAGCTTCATTTTAACCATTTCTGTGATAAGAACTTT